ATCGATACGCGAACGCTTATAAAATAATGGATCAGCTAAATTAAAATTCTTATATTTATTAATAACGTCCGAGTGGAATCGAACGTTAGGCATATCAGCAGATACCTTAGTCACTACGACCATGTTCAGTGTAAAACTAGGTAGGTCAGTGTGTAGGGACCTTAATGTGCATGTAATCATGCCGTGATTTTTTACAGCCTCTCCACCGAGACCATAAATATTAAACGAACACTTCTTTCGAGGTAAGCCCAAACGTTGAGCACACTCAGTTGTAATAAATGAGCTCTGAGCTCCAGAGTCAATAACTGCACGGCAGTATTGAAGCTGGCCGCTACTATCAATTACTAACACGCGCGCCGTTCCCAATACAACACCGTAACCCGAGTGAGCGTTATTGGAATGAAGCGTATCTATCGTATAACGCTCTGAGTCACTCATAGCCTGAGACGAGACGAGTGCTTGTTGCACTTGCGAGTCAGAGCACAATGGACGGGTGGATGTTGGCACGAACGTGTCGCTCACTGGCTCCCTATGCAATAGATAATGATGTAGTGACGCACATACACCACAAGACATCTCACTTTTACAAGTTGAGGTATCATGATTTCCTTTTAGGCAATTATGACATAATTTTAAGGTATTGACACGGTCAATCCTTTTATCTACGGTCAATTTACGAAATTGATCGCACCTATAAATCATGTGATTTTGATTGCAATGCGCGCAAATTATTTTTTTATTTTTATTATAATTTGACACATTAGTATTTAAAACTGTCTTTGAATAACTTTTGTAGTGGTTATTATTGTTGCCTTTGTAATTGTTACATATAGACTTATTTCTTGATTGTAACGACATCGTACTATTCGATGAATGTTCGAGTACTTTAACTTGTTTATTTACAAAACTAATTAATTCCGAAAAAGATGGAAGTGAATTTTGATCCCGATTTTCTTCAAAAAGCCTCCTAGTATGCGCATCCAACCCACGTAAGGCTAAATGACAAAATAAATAGTCATGTAAATTTTTAATTTTTAATGCCTCGATGGCTTTAAAAGAGTGATCGAATGTTTCGATAAATAAAGTAAGATTTGCGGTAGTATCTTTATTTAACGGCGTAAAGTTTATCATTTTGTCGATGTACCTACCCACGAGTATTCGATCATCTTGATATTTATTACATAAACTTTGCCATACGACAGTATAATTAGCGGCTGTTATGGGCAATTTTTTAACAATGTTTAATGCCGAACCTTTAACACATGAAAGCAAATAGTGAAACTTATCTATTTCATCGAAATCTCGATTGTGGACAAGTGATACAAATGTATCGTAGAATGTGGTCCACTTCTCAATATCACCATCGAATTCAAATAAACGTAATTTAGGTAATGACGGCCTTACATCACTCCTATCTTTCCTACTGAGGGATGCCTGCTCGTCCGGTTTTAATCTTAAATATTGCAACCGACATGCCTTATAAAGTTCATCAAATGTATCTAATTCTCGCGTTGACAATCTTGTCTCCGGTTTTAATGATATATCTATTTCAATAATATTTAACACTGTTTCTTCAAACTTTGAGCGGACACTTTCCAATTCGGAACAATCGGCTAAGAAATTCTGAATTTGTGTGGGATCATTTATTTGGGATCTCGCGATATCGAAAACCTTTTGTAATTTAGCAAATAGGTATTCCTTTTTAAAAATAAGTGTTTGCCTTTTTATTTGTAATTTATCCGACATTATGAACAAATTACAAAATTAATACTTTATAAACGCACCGCGAGCAATGGACATCCAGGTAAAAAAGAGGCAAATTAAATAAGGGATATTAAATTAATTAAATGCGTAGTTTTACTCAAATATATGACGTCCACGGGACGCGAATAAAGTGTAGAAAATTATTATTCGAAGATCACTAATTCGAATATATACGGCTCGAAGGCCAGAAATGTGGCGGATTGGGATTATTTTACTAGATATAGTGGACTGTATTGAGAATCTAAATCCCCTGAAACGTTCAGTTACCGCAGTCACAAAATCACACCAAAAACAGCAACAAACTACTCACGGTCTTACTAGCCAGCCTCCCAAGATCAGCAAACGTTGACAGCTCCTGGTAGCTTCTTCTACACGGTAGAATACACTAGCAATTAGATTGTACACGGTACACTCTGGAGTAGTCCCTTTTTTTAAGTTTTTGGAGAGATGTTCACATCACGAACACAAAGAGAATGTGTATGGCTTGTCTCGCCTCCTACCCTCCTCTTCTCTTTTTTTTAACTCCACAGATTATTACAACGCATATTACGTCGCAATGTTGCCACTAGGTGTGACCGGCGCTCCGATCGTAGCAGATCATTGTGCCTCGGTATAAATTTTGTGAGTTGCGGTTTATTACTGAACAATAAGGTATTATTATCAAAACCGAAAAGTTTTTTTTAATCTTTTTTGAATGCCATTCCTATTTCTTCAGTTTTTAATAACCATTCATATAAGACTAATTTGAAAATAAATGCTTCATTTACGATCTTACTATTTGGGACCATTTTTAGTTGTTATAGCGGTCAAACCGCGAATTTACTTATTATGCTCATTATCAATGAAGCCCATGTATTGTGAGGGGCAACTACGAAACAATACCACTACATTATGCGTGGCCCGACACGCATTTGGCCAGTTTTTCTATTCTTCAAAATATCTAATAACTATATATTCAATATATAGTTATGAAAGTCTAAACACAGAAATAATAAAACATACTTACCTGTGAACGTTTGAAATGCGTATGTTGCAAGATATTTGACCCAGTCTTCAGAAGTATCAAAAGGATATACACTTTGAAACGGAAGTACCAGTTTGCAGTCCTGCTTTAACACAAATTTACGAACCAAAACGCTTATTAAAGGTGTAACCAAATGTAATATAGCCGCTCCAACATTACCGTAGTAAAATACTGAAACAAACATTAAATTATTATAAATGGTGTAAAGAATTGAAGTATATCAAAAATGGTAGTACATAATATCATTTCAGTGTTTTAAAGCCATAAAAATGCAGCAAATAGGGTATAGACCGTGTGATAGCTGTGTTATAATATCCACTACCGCGAATATCATAAGAGACGACAGAAGAAAGCAAACCAGGAGATGGGCAACAGAGTCTTCCTAATAACAACTATAAAATAAAAAACTACGGTTGACAACCTTTGCAAGCGTCCCTATGTGGCAATCTATGGGGAGACCTATGTTCATCAGAGAACTTTTGATAGGCTGTATCGGTAAATAGGGTATAGGCTTTTCGAAATATTTGTGTTAGAGGATTTTTGCAATGAAGTGAGGGCCATTACAACGATTTTTAAAATTATTGACCGTATATCTGTATGTCTTACATTTATTTATTTTGTTTATTTGAGTTCATCTAAGGTTAAGTTTTTTTTTTTGTAGAATTAGGGTGACAAACGAGCACACAGTCCACCTGCATCAGGTAGTTGCTGTGGCCCATAGACATCTACATTTATCCTCGTTTGCAAATCAAAATGCAGATGTGTTGTCAGCCTAGAGGACTAAGATGGAATGCCTCTTTTCCAGTAAAAAGGGTCTCCGGTTCTCTACACTCACCATACAAAACAACAGCATTAAGCTGCTATTTTACGCTGGTATTCTGTGAGAGCGTGGTCTTACCCCGGTCGAGCCGACCCATTTGTGCTACATCTATACTATTAATATAGCTGCAGCATGGCTCTACCACGTAAAAAAATAATTGAGGTATTCTTAACACTGTAAAGTAAAGATCCAGAATATATAATATACACACAAGACATATTTAAAAGCTTTTAAAAAAAGTTACTTCGCAAACATCCGCTCTATAAAATAAAATTATGTGTTTTACCTAGTATAGACATAATTGATTTTTGAGAATGTTCCATACTATGCTGTCTAATATTATATGGAGGACTTTGTTGGTTACAGTGTAAGGGTCAAAATAAAAACTGTACATGGAATACAATCGGTCAGGTCATAATTTTAATTATTTTTTCAATCAAACTGAAGTGACAAACGAATCTACAGTCCACATCATGGAAAGCGGCTTCTACAGCCTATGGAAACAAACTTTGTATAACGAAGGCTACGGATGCGTTGTCACTTCTGCGGACTGAGACGGGATTTACGTCTAGTAATTATACTGGCTCTCTATACCCATTGGATGCGAACATAGCAGTGTGTGCAGTCATTTTTAGCGGTAAAAATAAAAAAAGAAGGAGGAGAAAGTGGGTGGTGCCTATTAAGACGGAATCCTAGATAGAGAATGTAGTAGAGAATCTAGAAAGATGAGACATAATACGATGGTATTTACCTCAGACATAAAACTCTCAGACCTGGACTGGTAAGCACTTAGTCCTCAGAGGTGACAAGGCAACTGTTCTTCTTTGTTTATCATTGATTGTGGATGTCCATGGGCGTCAGTAGATACTTAGCGTCAGGTGGACTATTACATAATATTATGTGATTTCTTATTTTTGACAAATTTAATAGATGCCATAGCCATTTGAATAACTCCCTGACCCTACCAGAGATTTTCAGACATGGATAAATCGAATACGCTATAATAATAATTTTAACCTACCGCAATTAGCTGCACCTAGCTTTAACTAATTTTTAAAGGCTAAACCTACGTTTATTTATGATCAACGTGATATAATTTTAATCCAATATGAAACTTGTATCAAAAACTGCAAAGTATTATTTGTAAGTTGAAATCGACTTACTTTTCAGAAATAAGTTAAGCTTTTTCATTAATTGTTCCTTCCGCTCGATTTGCTTCCTATTTAAATTGAATGTTCTCCAGCTTTTGCCCAAGTCATTCACTAAAGTGGAAATATCTTTTCTTTTTATTAATATTATGATTATTTTAATTACAGCTGGAAAACAAAATGAGTATTCATTATATTAAATATTTAATATTGAAATACATGACAAAAGTTAAATAAATCATACCCGTAACAAAACTAATATACACAGGGACCATGTAAGCGAATTCGGTGACGTCGATTTCCTCACTGAATATATTAATCATGTATATCGACATACAAGTAATGAAGGCCACCGTAAAAGGAACTAAGTATAAAAACTTCCAATATCTCTTTAGAAAGGACACATTGTCATCAAAAAAGGTTAAATTAAATTTATCTAACATTTTGAAACCCACCAAAAGTGGTTGCACAAATTCAGGATGGAAATTAGATAGGTATTTCATTTTTTTAAACTAAGCCCAAATTGATACCTTTTTTAAAACTATAATAAAGTAATCTTAATGAAAAAAAAAACTTTTGTTTCATGAAGTTTTTGACCTATAGTGAAGCAGATGAAACTTTAGGGTTCCCTTGAAATAATTAAGAAACCGCAACAACACACTTAACAGCTACCTAAATCTAAATTTAAAATTTATGGGTTACTTAATTAATATAAGTAAAGTATAAGTAAAGTTTGTTCTTTTTAATAAAAAATTTAACTGCACTTAGTTATTTAGTTTTAATTATTATATTCATTGAAGTAATTATTTAATTAAAATAGACGTGGTATAATTTTTTGTAATCAAGTTCGCTATACAACCTTTTACCTAATATTACTGCAGCTTTAAACAGAATTTAACCCTTATATAGACAGAAAATACCTATTAAATTAGCTTTATAATTTAATGCATTTTAATATTTTATTCTATGTGAAGTATTCGCGTAAATATAGGAAATTATTACACCTGCTTAAGTGTAGAATTTTATTGTCTATTATTTTAATGCAATGTTTTAGTTTTGTACATTTGAATTACTAGGTATCATTGTTTATCAAACTGACCTTTGATAATTTATTAAAAATACTGCACCTTATAAAATATTGATGAAGCTTTTTAAAGGACATGTATTAAATAAAATACTTTCAATTTATAAGTGGCTGTGGGTGGACTATTTGGTGCATGTTTTTTTTTATCTCTACATAGTATAAAACAAAGTCGCTTCCCGCCGTCTGTTCGCTTAAATATATATATATATATATATATATATATATATATATATATATATATATATATATATAAATCAAAGGTTTATATGTATAATACGTGTCGGCCACCGTCGGGTGAAATGCGGGCCACCTCTGGACTTGAAATTAGCACTCAGATCAGGAAAGATCATTCAGAATTATTTACACTGGACTGGAGCACGAAGGTCTCGGCGAACACCTCTGAATTCATTTTATATTGTACGAGTATTAAATAAAGCCCGTCTATTTATAAATTGTTTTATAAGTTTAATCAATATTTTTTTCCATCAAATTTCTGTTACAATGTCATTAGGATTTAGTTACTCAATTTTTGTTATTAAAAAATAAAAAAGAGTTAATTTTTTAAAATTTCAACAGTGTATTTATATTTAAAAAAAGATATGACAAAAATATCTTCACTTGATAAAGTTTACTTCTAAAAATATATCACCTTTTGCTGATGATCCCAAACTTTTTTTGATGCGTATATAATGTGACCTAAGCATTTCAATACGCCTGTAATACGTTATTGTATATTTAACTGATAGCAACGGATAGCAAAGCTATTTCCGAACTAAATTAAAATATTTAAAATTTATTATATTAATTTAAAGGCATATAAATAAATTAAGGGGATTCCAACTATGCTTACTTAATTTACAGTTATTAATAATGGTGGTTATAAAAGAGAGCGAGTGGGCTGTAAGTTTATGTAATAATGGCAGGGCCCGTGACTTCGTTCTTTTTTTATAGGAGGGGCACACGAGCATGCTGCTCATTTATTTATTTATTAATTGGCCATTTCGTTACATTACATAACATTACATTAGATATAAGATTACACTAAATTAATAAAATTACAAATTAATATATATCTACATTTACATTATTTTACATGTCACACAAGTCAGAAAATGAACATTTCATATATTCTTCTATATTATAGAAAGCGTGATTCAAAAAGAATGTTTTTGTCACTTGTCTAAACGCGTTTAATGGAAGTCTTGTTATTTCTAAAGGCAATTTATTGTACATTTTGATTTTTAATGGAAAACCTTGCTTGGACGCTTTGAATAATCTGGTTCTTGGAACAACTAATCTTTCGCGATTTCTTGAATTGTAGTTGTGTACATGCATCTTCATTGATAGTTCACTTTTTTGCTGGTGCACTTCTAGAAGCGAACTATAAATATACAACGACACGACAGTCATGAATTTCGTTTTTTGGAAATAGGCTCTTGCTGATGTCAATCTTTGCAATCCATGTATAATTCTTATCGACCTTTTTTGAGAAATCGGTACTCATTCAATTTGTGAAGCATTACCCCATATCGTAATCGCGTAGCTAATAATTGAGTGACAATATGCAAAATAGACGGATATTAGAGTTTTCCTGTCAATAATGGACTTAAGCTTAAATAAGGCGTAATTTTCACTGAATAACTTTTTACTAACATTATCTATATGGGTTTCATAACTTAAAGTGGAATCGAGAGTACACCCTAAAAATGTGACTTTACTATTTGTGACTTTATTTGTTTTTTTGCTTGCATAATTAATTATGGTATTTTTTTCTGCATTCAAAATTATTCCGTTTGCTTCAAACCATTTTCTAAGTATAATAAAAATTTCATCTGTTTTCTTGGTTACTTGAAATAAGTTTTATCTTTAATACCAACTTGTGTATCATCCACAAATAGTGTAACCATCGCCCAGTCAGGTAAATTTTTTGCAAGGTCATTCACGTATACTAAAAACAGCAATGGTCCCAGGATGGAGCCCTGCGGTAGTCCAATGTAACTATGTTGTGGATAGGACTTATTATTATTTAGATTAACTATTAGAATTAGATTTTTAAGATAAGACTGCATTATACTCAACTCTTTTCCTTCAAATCCGTAAAATTTCAGTTTTTGAACTAATATATCATGCCGCAAACAATCGAAAGCCTTGGATAAATCGCAAAAAACGCTAGATAACTTCTGTGATCCATCTAAAGCGTCCGATACGAAGTATACTGTTTTTCTAATAGCCATTTTGGTTGATCTATTTTTGCGAAAACAAAATTGACAATCTGTAAATAGATTATTTTTTTCAAAGTAGTCTAATATCCTATATTTTATGGCAGTTTCTAAAATCTTTGACATAACTGGTAATATACACACCGGCCTGTAGTTCCCAATTTCAGTAGTTTCTCCTTTTTTGAACAGTGGCACGATTTTTCCTATTTTTAAGCTATCTGGGAATATTCCATCTGTGATGCAATCATTCAAGACTTCCAAAATTATATCAAACATGTCTTTGTTGTGGATTATAAGTTCTCTAATAGTTTTAGTTGACATATCGTATATGTCTCTTGATGTTTTACATTTTAAACTATTAATAATATTCCAAAATTCGGATTTACTTATTTTAGGAAAGCTAATTTTATTTTTTGTTGAGTTTTTTAAATATTTCCTATAATTATCAACCTTATTGTCTAAATTTTCTGTAAGTTTACCGGCTATATTGCAAAAGAACTCATGAAACTGTTTGCTATATTTTATTATTTGTGATTATGTCTCCAATCACAGAAAAAATCACAGATTTTTAATTTTAGTAATTTTATTTTTACCTTGTGTTTTTATTTGATTTTTTTTGTTCTTTAATAATTGTCCAAGTGTTTTTAATTTTATTCGGGAAATTTTTAATTCTAAATGCGTTCCTAAGTTTTTGAGCTGTTTGAAGTACTTTTCTATATATTTTCCTATAATCATTTAGGTTCGATTTTCTAATTTTATCTGGATGCAAGTTATGTAATATTTGGAGTATTTGAAGATTATTTCTAGATATCAAAATAACTTTGGTTGTTAGTTTATGCTTGTTTCTTCTCGGTTTAAATGTTTTTAATGGAAATACAGTGTAGTAATAATAGTTTATATGGTGTATCAGAATGTTCATTTTCTTATTTGCGTCAAGTTTCAAGTTTATATCATTTTTTACATATTTAAAGTCTTTACAAAACAAATAATGAAAGTATTTTATATTTTCCTGAGATATTATTCGAGATCTGACCTCTGTCTTCTCCTTTGATTTAGGATACTTAGTATTCAATTTATACTTTAATTCTATGACATTATGATCTGATAATTTTACGTCTAATACTTTACCTCTGTGATACTGAAAATCATAATCGTCATTTAAGATGAAATTATCAATACATGTAGAAGACTTGCATTTAGTTCGGGTTGGCTCATTTAAGACAAATTTACATTTCAATTCACTCAGTAGTTTTAAAAGTTTGCGTACTTGGTTTCAATATATTTAAATTAAAATCTCCTGTAATTTCAATTCTTTTGTTTACCTGACCTATTTTTTCAATAACTTTAGTCATAATATCTTCGAATATTAAATAATCATAATCAGGTCTATATACACAAATAATATCTAATTTATACGATTTTACTTCAATTGCCGCTAATTCACAATTCATTTCAAAACTCAACTTTACAATGTCATGTCTTACTTTATATTCAAGTGTATTTCTAACAAAAATAGCTGTACCTCCATGTTCAAATAACATCCTATTGTAATATGACACAAGTATGTAGCCTTCGATATTCATTACACCTAACTTTAATTCATTGTCTCTGTTAGACAAAGCACATCACAAGTTGTATTTTCGGTTAATAATTCCAGCTCTAAATATTTATTATTAATACTCTGAATATTAGCCTGCACAATCATTAACCAGTTAACGGAGTCTTGGTCGTGTCTAAAAAATGTTGTGGACAACTTAAATTAGAATTTAATTTTATAAAGTGCAAACAAGACGAAGCATTAAAGTGACTATCTTTGATACTTTTAACAGTTTCCTCAATCACGATGTCTTTTACTTTTGCCTTAATTTTTACATTTATTTCAAGATATCTGACATTCTCAGATTCCGCAGCTAGTTTAAAGAGTCCTTTATTAATAGTGAATATTTTATCATCATTTATGTTGTCATACATTACACTTCCTAATAAAATGTTGAATTTTCTATTTTATTTGCTCACAATTCTTCGAATCTCGTTCACATATGACGTCTCCATTTTAATGTCGTCGTAGTTTCCTATTAGTATTATCGCCAAGTCATATTCTTTCAAATCTTTGGTGTATAGTGCAAAGTGTTTCAATATTTGTTTATGATTTCCCCCTGGTTGACAGTAATTTGTTATTTTTGTATTTTCCAATTGTTGC